GGTTTAGGGGCTTAGCGGTTTAGGGTTTCTCAGTCCGTGCTGCAGAAGGGGTTTAGTTTAGGGGCTATGGGTTTAGGGCTTAGTCGCTTTGGGTTTAGGGGTTTTAGGGTACGGGTTCAGGGTTTAGGGCTTATATAGCAGCCGAGGCGCCGACTGTGCTGTGTAAAATTGCTTATATGCATAGGCTGTAGGATATAGGGTTTAGGGTTGAGCGTTGCATTGGTCGGTCCTGTGCTCAGTAGGGTGCTGTCATCGATGGTTCCAGGAAGATGTCATGCTGCAGCCTCTACGACATGTTAATTGTGCTATGCCACATCACAATGTTTTGTCATATGGGGGGTCCATTGTGCAGGGGCTAAGAGCAGCAAGAGCATGCATCGTGTGTTTATAGTTCCCGAACATGGGGCGTGCGAGTGTAAAACTGGGAGAACAACCGAGGGAAAGATTGTCAGAGTTCCGCAACTGAGCTTGAAGAGCAGCCGCCTAATGGGCAGGAGGAATTCCCAGTAGACTGGTAGATCTTCTTGAGCTCAAGTCTGGCGAGGGGCTGTCGCACTAGTTTCCACATGGTGACTGTTCAGGGTCATGCGTTACGCGTCTACCAAAGCTTTTCTATCCACACATGCCCCAGCAGCACCTGTGCTTGGAAACTTTCAGCTGGGTCGCAGGGAGCAGCTCTTACTTTCGTTTCGAAGAGCACTGCACGATCGAAAATCGAGCCCTGCTTCTCGGTTTCAAGTGCCTCGGAGCCAGACGATCTTTGCAGTTTGAAGATTCCTATATAATTCAGCGATTCATGATTTTACGTGCATGTTCATGCCAGGTGTTGTCAGGACATCTTCGGTAAAAGCATTTCCATCGCGTGTGTCGGAGCAGAGTACACTAAGCAGTGCTTCTACATCTTCCATCATGCGTTCTCATGCGTACATCTCTCGTTGCCTGGCATGCATACAAATACCATGAAGATCCATGAACCCTAAACCCTAAACCGTAATGAAGAGTGTGAGCGCCGAAATGGCCCGAGCTTGGCGGTCCGAAGCGCACTGTGTAGCAGCTGAGCTTTTTGCCGGTACTGTGTGGATGTGCTAGGCTTAAAACGTCCAAGCCGCATTGTTTAGTGTGTGTGTGTGTGCGCTGCGGCGTGACACTTTTCCATGCAGACATAAGCCCCATGACGACATCTGGCCACCTGGCAGTATTGTGGCTTCAGGCCAGGCATACTTCAACACGCAAGTAGGCGGATGACATGCCTAGCTGACCAGGCAATCATGCGTCTGAACCGTTGTAGACTCAAGAAAGAGATGAAGAAGAAGCGAGCTTTTCGACATGCCTTCGGCCTCAAACCCTGGAGCGAGAGCTTTTTTCTTCTGCCACTCGGGCCCCCTGCGTGGCAGGCAGCTCCTAAGGGGCTGAAGTCGGGGCTGCGACGTGGCGTCGGAAGATTTTTTACAAACTTTAAACGGGTAACATTGCACCGGCATGAGGCCTGCAGATGGCCGCCATTTGCTTTGCGGCAAGCTTGAGCTTGCGCATTTCCATACGAACGGACTTGCGCACGGCTCATTGCGTAGAGCCTAATGTCGCAGCTGCGACTACATTCGTTTAGAGCACATCAGACAAGCACCTATTAAACTTGCAGGAGTGGCAAGCATCAGGAGCGGGATCGCCGGCACCAACAACCGACAGAAGTGCGCATTCTGAAGCACGGCAGTTCCAGTAACAGGTTTGGAGGACAGGAGTAGAAGCATCAGTAGAGGCAGAAGTAGAAGTAGAAGCAGATGTAGAGGTAGAAGTAGAACTGGAAGTAGCAGTAAGTCGGTAGTAGTAGTCGTCGTAGTAGTAGTGGTAGCCGTAGTAGCAGTAGTAGTAGTAGTAGTAGTAGCAGTAGCAGTAGCAGTAGCAGTAGCAGTAGCAGTCGCAGTGGTAGTGGCAGTGGCAGTGGAAGTGGAAGTAGAAGTAGAAGTAGAAGTCGTAGTAGTAGTGGTAGAAGTGTCATTGCTAGTGCTAGTGACTTAGTTCCAGTGGTAGTTGTAGTAGTACGACTGCTACTACTACTACTACTACTACTACTACTACTACTACTAGTACTACTAGTGGTGGTATTGGTACTGGTAGTACTGGCAGTGGCAGCGGGATAGTAGCTGGAGCTGTAATTGAAGCAGCAGTAGAAGTCGTCCAGTGGCAGACGGTGGACCAGGTGGTGGTACATCATCTGCTGCATGATCACGAAGGCTTTCGCGAGCAAGAAGTATGCGGCATCAGTCAGTAGTAGTAGTAGTAGTAGTAGTAGTAGTAGTAGTAGTAGTAGTAGTAGTAGTAGTAGTAGTAGTACTACTACTAGTAGTAGTAGTAGCAGTAGCAGTAGCAGTAGCAGTAGCAGTAGCAGTAGCAGTAGCAGTAGCAGTAGCAGTAGGAGTAGTAGTAGTAGTAGTAGAAGCAGTAGTAGTAGTAGTAGTAGTAGTAGTAGTAGTAGTAGTAGTAGTAGTAGTAGTAGGCATCAGTCAGTAGTACAAATCGGCAGTGGTTTACAGTAGAAGCCAGAAAGTTGGAATATCATTATCGTAACCCCTTTAAGGTAAATTATAGGGGATCCTACCATTAATCCATATTCCAACTTTCTGGAGTTCCCTTTACCAGGATTGAACTGAGTCTTGTGACTAGTCCTATCAAGCGCGCGTGACCGGTGACCGGAAGCGTTCCGCCCCGGTGCTTTAGAATTAATCACTCTTTGGTGCTTTTGTTAGTGAGTTCATTTGTCGCTGTGTGGCGGTGGATCACACAGAGGAGCACAACTATATTATCTGACGTATTCCAGAACATCCTATCCCGGACAGCGTTGTGATGTTGATTGCCTTTCTGAGTCCAAATACTGTACTATACACTCTGTGGATCGGCTGGCATGTTTCAATTTTGTTTCATGCTCTCACCCACTGGATAGGTGAGCCACTTGATCATAGACATAGACCCTTCGGGATATCAACCAAAAGGAGCCGCCTGCTGTGCGGTTTGTTTGCAACCTGCTGCCCCCCCCTAAAGGTAGTTTTCTAAATTAGGGTCCATTTTAGCGTCCCTTTTGCAACGGTGCTGTGCTATCTTGGGGACCTGGAGTTGGACCCGAATTCAGAGAACCAGCCTCATGGTCTCCACAGGAGAGTTGACGTGGCTGCTCGTAAGTTTTCGGAACCCAAAAAGCACATAAGCATAAGCATTTTACCGGGATATCCCTACCTTATTGGGCTTCATGATAAGGCGGTTTATATGGGATATCCCTATCCTAATTTTTGCTTATGTGCCTTTTTGGGGGCCCTAAAGTTTGGGGTGCTGCTTTCTTTTGGGCTTCGGGACCCCGGGATCCTTCGGAACTCTCGGGCCTTCTTTCGGGGCGAAGTCTAAGTTGCCTGGGCTTCTCGTGAAGCCTATCGCGATGGTCGAAACCCGAAGCCCCCTGAAGCCTGACTGGTGCTAGAAGTAGTGTGAGAGTCGAAAGCCTTAAAGCAGGTACCCTTTAAGCCTTAAACCCTTTCGAGACCTTCGTGGTTCCGTGAGGCGCTCGAGCGCGAGCGATGCCAGCATGAAGTCACCAAATCTGAGCTGGAAACCGTGAGGGGCCATGAGCTAGCAGCAGACACTTAGGATCTAGGGGTCTTAGCGGAACAGTCTTGAAGGATTCAGGCGTCGAGAATATGATTCTAGGTTTACGGCTGATGCCCATGATCAAATTTGTTTATTGGGCCTGCAGTGGCAACTGCGAAGGCTGCCATCACTGCAGCACTGTACAGCGACCCAATTCTTTATGGGAATGTCTGCATCATTTGGTCGGTTTGTCTTGGATTATGTCGTTGCTATGTGTGCATATGTCTGCATGTATATGGGTGGTTGTCAAAATGTTGGTCCTTTTTTGGGGGCCCTATTATAACTCGGCACCCAATATTTAAATTTAGGGTACCCAAAAAAGGGACCATAATTTTGACAGCCACCCATATGGAGCAGGCTTCAATCCGGAGCCTTTCAGGAGGAAGGGGCTGACCGAAAGGCGTCCGAAACACCACGCTGTGCTTTCGGGGTGGAGGGGCTACCCAAAGGCCCCGAAGTAGTTCCTTTTTGGGATTACCTAATCGGATTCTATATATGAACCCCAAAAAGGAACTACTTTGGGGCCTTTGGGTACCCTAAGCCCTACACCCGCAGTCATGTTTCAGGAAAGCATTAGCAGATCCCGAACCGTATGCCTCGCCTGGATTGTCCGAGCGCCGAAACCCCAAAGCTCCTCGTAAGCAGTGCCGAAGATTTCAGGCGAAGTAAGCCCTGCACCCTCGGCTGGAGCATGTGATGCTGAGCCTTTAGAGGAGTCTATAATGTAGCTGGTATTCCTTTATACTCCTTGTATAAGTACACAATACGATACCCCCAAACCCTTACTCTGATAATCAAGGCCTAAGTCACTGCAAGGGTCTGTTCAAATGCCTTTTTCTGGATTGCTGTATGGAGGAGTTGAGCTGTGTTTTGCCGCTGGCTTGAACACATGCACGCCTCCAATGCTTACCAGGGCAAACGAGAACTGATTGGCAAGCAGATACATAAATATGCCAGCCGCTAGCCTTCACATGTACCTAGCAGTTCAATTACAGTTCAATAAGTATGGTTTGTCATATAGAACCGTAGACGACCACAACCTTCATGGGTAGCAGCTGATACACCAGATATTCACACATACGCCTTTGTGATGCAGCGAAGCAGTGTGAGAGTGGATGTGTCACGGATGATACGAAATGGGAAGCAGGATCTGACAAAACGCATGCATTTTGGTTAGCACATGCATCCCCTCCCCGCCCCGCGTGCCCACCAACCTAAGGAAGCTACCTGGAGACTTGCTGACCGTGTGAAGAAGTGCTTACAACCAGAACTCCTGTTCTGTAATACACAAATAGAACCTGGAGACGGACATGCACATTCCCTATCACAGTGCATCAAGTCATCGTCGCGTGCCCTTTGTTCTTGAGGTGGAGCTTCTTCCAGATGGCGTCGGCAGGCACGCTGCCAGCTAGCATCAGCCGAGTTCGCTGCACAGCGATTGCAGGTGGTTGGTGTGAGGGATGGACCAGGATTGGACCATGAGACAGGATGACTTGGTAGTCAAAAGGTGCTGGATGATGCACGGACACGAATTTTCAGGATGCTGGTGTCCAAATAGAAGCAACTTAGTCCATTTCCATTCCACCTGCCACATCCCTCCAGACCCGAAATTGCGTTTACACTGAATAAACGTGAAAGGGATAGAGGACCAATGCAGAGCCCCAGGCCCGGATCTCTTCGATGGCGTCGCATCGGGAGCAGTGAGGCACCCGTTTTAGAATGCCGAGGTGAGTGTGGGTTTGGCGATCTAGGGTTTCAGACGGCGTTACTGATGCCTTCCGTGGTTGGGTGTTGGGGAGTTGGTCATCGGAGCTCTTTCCGTTGAGGTGTTCTTAGGCCCTACATGCCCTAAGCCCTCTACCCGGAGTTATTAAATCGTAGTGAGCCGCTGCCTTCCTGGCATGGTAGATTTCGAAGTGACCAGATCATCCATGATCATCCTAAAGCAATACTTTGCATCAGCCCAGAAGCCACACACTTCGTAGCTTTTGCAAGCTATGCATTAGCGGATAATAAGCTAAGCTCTGTGCCGGGGCTTCCTTCAGACAGGTAGAGGCTCTCCAGACTGAGGCAGGAGAGCCTGCCAAATCAGTTTGTATGTGCTCCGCTCGGGAGTTTGTTTGATAGACGGCGCAGGTCAGTCAGCATGTGTTGAATCTTCCTCAGGAATAGAACTCCACGGTGGTTGCTACGCAGTGAACCACCGCGCCTGAATTTCGAACGCAACCGAAGCTATGGAAGTGGTTGTCTTGTGATGAGGGTTCACAGGCAGTTTAGGTCACAGAAGGATGCGTGCACAGATTTAGCACAGCCGACTGAAATTCAGTTGCTGTTTGTTGTTCGCCACTTTTGACCGCCTCTGCCTACACCTGCATCGGCTCTTTGGCTCAAAGTCGCTTCGCGCCGCCCTGTGCAGCTGCGCGGCTGCGCGTGTTCCTCCATTTTCCTGGGTTTTTTGCCTCCTTCTGGTGAATACATTCGATGTGACCTGGCAGCAAGGTATAGTAGGAGTCGGAACGTTTGGAAGCAGTTGTGTAGCAGTTCTTGGGCATGTTCTCGCATGTTGGGTCCATGTGGTCCAAGGAATGAATGAAAGTCAGGAGTGCTTCAGGTTCTCGGGCCTCGCTATCTCTGTACCCGCTGGCTCCACGCTTTACTGTCCACATCCTACAGTTCCCCAACCTTCCCCCAAGTACTCTAGGGGCCAAAAGATTTGTGTGGATTCCTTATTGTATTTGTAGTATCATGGACGCCAAAACCCTATTTAAATCATTGAGGCCCCTATACTAGTCCGTGGAGTTGGAACCCCTGAAGACCCAGAGTCCTGGTGCCGCAGATGATCGGCCTCCTGCTGCGGAGCCTCATGGGCTTTGGAGGCATCTGTGATGGCACTTCGATGATGATGAGCCTTGGGATCGGAGTTAGGGTTTAAGGTTTAGGGTCAGTGTCAGGGGTTAGGGTTTAGGGCTTTAGGATTTAAGGGTTCTCAGTTTTCTTTCTTCAGGGTACCCGGCAGTCGCAATAGGCCTGGATGCAAAAGGGTTTAAGGGTTGATTGCAGCCCGAAACCACAACCAAACCTTCAAACCCGCACCAAGACCCATGACCAGCGCACCAAAACGACCCCAACTCTCACCAAGAAGTTGCTGCAGTCACCAAGCTTCCAAACCACAGACTTGGCAAGAACAAGCGGAATACTCGCAGCTGCACAGCGACACAACGGTCGAATCCTTGACAACCCAGCTCCTTCTCAGGATGGTGTCGTGGTGTACCAAGACTTACCGCTAGTGTCCGTAGTGCCGCCTGGGCAAGTCTTGGTCATTCACGAAGCAGACCAGGCTCCTCTAGAAGCCATTGCAGGCCGATAAGTGTTCGGATGGAAACCCCCAGCAACTGTTTCTTAGCTTGGTACAACAGCAGAAACATGAAGTCCTAGCCGATGTCCAGCCATGTCCTCAGCTGCACACGAGCCGTCGGCCAAGGAGACGCAGACGTTACCACCACCTTCCCATGCTGCACATTCGTTGAAACGTTTTGAAGCTACTTGCTTTGCATGGTCTTGGCAGGAGCTTCGACAATGGCGGCGACGCAATGCGCTCTTGCATCCTGAGGCATGGCTTCCAGGTTTGTCTCTTCTGAAAGCCACCGCGCCGACATGTCCTTGCATATTCCAGATCTTGACCTTGACACTTGTGCTCCACATGTTGACTTCGGTCAGGGAGAGGAGGCCACTGAGAAGCTTTTGCGGCAGGCCAGCACTCGGAGTGAGGCAACAGACTTCCACCTTTTCGGGTTTAGGCTTTGCTTGCCACTAAACATGTCCTGTGAGCATGAAGCTGGCTGGACATGCGCGCGCTGCAGCTGGGCCGGATCGAAGCGCCAGAGTCTCTGCGCCGATGGGCTTTCTGATCCGAAAGCACGACTGTAGCGAAAGCTTGACGCTTGCAACTTCCAAAACTGCAAGACGCACATCCAGGTACCGGGCGCCACGTTGCAGCACCGTTTCGCCATTGGCGAAGTGGTGAAACGTGGCTTGGAGGCCCGCGATCGCGCTTTTGCCAGTCTCTGGCGGCTCATGAATGCGTGATTGCGTCGCTGGACTTGGTGACCTTGGGCTGCAGCCCATCTCTTGTAGCCCTTACCATCCGAGACCTCATATTCGAAGGTTTCGGCAAAGTCCATGTTTTGAGCGGCATCAGTAGATTTCGATAAAAATATATGGAATCGGGCTTATACAGAGCGAAATCGGCGTCGATCGAAATGCCCTAAACACCGAACACTATGCCCTAACGGTTGTCATAATCCATAGCATTGACATCCGGAAACACCTACACCACCCCACCCAAGCCCCAATCGTTGTGAAACCCTAGCTCTGGCAGCATGAAATTCCGTCATCCGACGAAGTCCTCGGCAATACCCCAGCTCGTGAGCCCAGAAAGATTCGAAGGCTTCATACAGTTCATGTGTTGCGCACCTTGTGCTTCAATTGTTTCTTTTCCCTTTAAACGCCTGGAAGCTTGGCTAACTTCTTCGATATTTAAGCACTCGCACGTGAAAGCTGTATTGAAACGCCCCTTACAGCCGTGCTGTCGGACGGCTTGGCCAACACTTCTTCTGCGCATCATGCATCTCAACAGGAGTCTGTGGGAATGCAGCAAACTCGTCGGATCCGCTTAAAAAGAACCCGCACAGTCGGCATGCATCCACAACCCGCAGAACCCCACTCAGCAAGTCCAGTCCAGAGATAGGTCCTCTTCTAGCATCGCTTTGTGCGGTAATTTTGGCCATGCCCTTCATGCTTGTGATCAAATCACAAGATTAAATTACATATAGCCTGCACACGCATTGCAACTACCACGCGCGATTCCGCGGGAAAAGAATCTGGCGGGCTTAGATGTTTTATGCGACATAACTGCTTCGTGGAGTTCCGTTTATATATGCCCATCACACAGGCGCCAGTGTCAGTCGGCCTCTGCGAACACGCGTAAAATCACGCCCTTTTGAGTGATGAGCTTCGTCCCATCCTGATGCTTACTTGGGTGTGGTGTGTACTGCATGCACTGCGTCTGTTCGAAGGCCTCAAAAGCACAAATACACAGCTTTTTTCTACTCGCTGTCTCAAACCCGAAGTTACGCGAGTCATCCATGCAACCAGACCTTTCAAGCCAATCGACATTTTCTGCTGGGGCATCTGCCGTTGTGAGACTTCCGGCAATGAGTGATTTTGAGACTTCCCGCGTTGGGTGATCGAAATCAATCTTAAACACTGCAGAGGCAGCCCAGGTAGGTGCAACCATTGCAAATACATTCTGAGTTGCTGTGTACACACAGGGCGTTTCGCGAAAAAAACAACTAGCAGCGAAATCTACACGCAAGATGGGCGTTTGATCAAAATCAATTTGACAAGCGTAAACAGTGATTGTATCGTCAACAAGTAGGCGTTTCAACTTGTAGCCGTCATGGCTGCCAGTTAGCCTTCACAACAACATTTCCAGGTTTGGGCCTATCATGCAGCTGCCACAGCAATGGCATCCTGTTACCGTATTTAAGGATATTACAGTTGTCGAAATTCGGTCGTGGAAGCAAATACAATTTAGTCTGTTTTCCTGGCAGTGGCTGTGATGTAACGAGGGTGTCGTTGGGATGAGGATATCAGAGTTCAATTAGTGCATGGACCTGAAATTGGACTGACAATTGCAGGGCTTTTTTGTTTGCGGGATGTGATTGGATAGCACTGTAGGATGGGATCGTGCGTTGTTTGGGCACTAATGGCTGCAAGGGTTTAAATGCACAACCTTTTGTAATTGTAATATTGTTTATCACATGGCTTGTCATGTCCGGACTACATGAGTGCCAGGGTCATCTGCGCTTGCAGGGGTCTCTCATGCATGGAGTTCGGAATGAGCGGTTGGCATTGCTTTTAGAAGAAGATATAGACTTGTAGAAGGAAAAACGGATGGGTTAGGACCTGCTTAGGACAGAGTCGCCTGTCTAGGAGACCAGCAGGCAGCAGACCATTGCAGGAAATGTTCTACAACATTCTCTGCTTTTCGACTTGATGCCTGTTCCCCACGTGAAGAATGTAAGGGTCAAACATCGCATACGGTTCAGGTTATAAGGGCGAGGACAAACTGGACGGCGTCGTATTTGATACTGGGTAGTACTGCCCTGTCAATGCACTGGTGCACTGCAGACTGACATCTAAATTTTGTCCCAGAGCAAGGGTGCATCTCTGCAAGCTTTAGGAGCTGATGCGGCAATGATTTTAACCAGTCTAATCGGGCTCATGCCAATTTCGGAATGGGACGGAGTTGAAAGCAGGATGCTTGGGAGTCAGGTCACGTTTCAATCTGAAATCATAAGCCTATCTGGGTTGGGAGGAGATGTGAATACAGAAAAACCACGTGCAGCCCACACCAAAGAAGCCACGGAACACCCCCACCAGACCAGACCAAAGCCCCAGCCATACCCACAAAAAGCAAGGACGAGCCACATGGAAACGTGTTCAAACCACCTCCAGCAGCCCCCAGCATTTCGCAGACCTCCGCTCGGTGGCAGCAGTCATGTGTCAAAAACCCAGAAAAGCTGGTGTGTGAAACTTTTGTTGGTGCAGATAGGTTGTGGGAGCATCGGAAATCAAGTCGGAAAAACGGCACTTCCGGGGAGTAGGTTGCAGGTCGCGGAAACCGGTATACATGTGTGTGTGTGTGTGTGTGTGTGCGCGTGTGCAGATGCCCGATGATCCTGAAAAGGCTGCTCTTGCTATTCAACCTGCACAGCCAGCTCCCACAAATTGCAGAAATAACGCGGTTTATCGCGAAATATCGCGGTTTATCGCGAAATATCGCGGATTATCGCGAGACCTTCTGAGAGAAGGTCTTTGGACTGATTTCTAACGCGATTTATCGCGAAATATCGCTGTCTAACGGGGTGTCTGGCGGCATCGGGGCCTTCAACCAGCGTAGTTTCACGATAAATCGAGTGAAGAGTCAGGCCAAAACCCCTTTTCTCAGAAAGCCTCGCGATATTTCGTTTTAAACTGTGCTACTTCTTGGATTCGACAGCAGGCTC